ACACACACACACACACCCACCCACCCACACACACACACACACACACACACACACACACACACACACCATTGCTTCGGACATGGCTTGCTATTTCACTAAACTTTCACATCAGAATTATTAATTGACAACGCTTAAAAATTTTTTTTGACTTTAAGGGAATGATTTGTCAGATGACCATTAACCACGGTAGAAAAGTCTTGATTTTTTTTGGCCTTCATAGTATTTGAATTGCATGAAATAAGGAACACGACCTATAACCCTTGAAGTTCGCGTTCAAAAATTCAATTTTTGGCTTAAAGTCTATTATTTGAGTATGGGTCGGCTTGCTAAAAATTTAGCGTCTTAAGTTTACTTATTTAAAAGAAATTTTTTTATGACTTCTAACTCACTTATGGTCATTACTTGGTATTTACCAAAGTTGGAAAGCCGGCGATGGCCTTCCAGGTCAGCGCAACGTCAAGTAGTTAATTTCCATGATTTCAACATTCCAGCTTCTTTAATCGAATAAAAAGCAGGCGCGAATACATACATACGCATATATACATACATTTACATGAATGAAAGCGCTTAAAAAGCGCTGTGTTTTGAAAACTGGTTTCAGGTCATTCAATTGGTCCCGTAAACTGGAATTTGAAAGTCAACCTAGGACCGGGTGTTGCAGATTAGAGTACAATTGACCCTGGGGTTTAATTTCGGGTTATTCGAGCCGAACTGATGAATTGATCTCTCAGAATTTCCAGTTACTGATTTTCTGGTTCACAGTTCATGAAATTAACATAGACTTGGCATGGGAAACAGGGGAAGGTTAAAAGTTGATTTTAGGTTTGTCGGTACTTTATCTGGTTGTATGTTTACACTTCAGGTTCATTGTCTATCACATGCATTTGTCCTAAAAGAAATGAGATGTGGCTGTGCAAATTCAAATCCCACGTGTAGTTATGGGATGAGATTAGGATTGATTTTACGCTCCTGGACTTGCAGAAGATCAGGGATTGAACTTGCTGAATTTTACCATTCTAACGTGTCTGGTTGCGGAGTTGGAAAGTCTCAACAGATAAATGGACAGACTTAGAATCCTGACAGTGTGCTTCTCTGGATGTATACATATGCATAAAAATTGCAGATACTTTGTGAAAAAGGAAACGCGGACGTCAACATATTAAACGGATTGGGGCAGACGCCACTTTTATGTGCTGTGCAGGAACATGATGTGATTGGGAAGAAAACGAAATCCTACGCTGACAACAGATCGGTGATTCATTCTCTGCTGAAATATGGCGCGAATCCTATGAGCACGGTTGGCTGAATCTCGTTTCTTAACTTTTTTAGCCTTGTTGTATTTCCTATCATTACTCATGCAGATGCATTGCTGTTGCTTCAACAAATTCGTTGTATTGCAGGATTTTTGTGGTAACTGCGTTCTTCATTATGCAGTGAACAGTCTGAATGCCGACTTGATTGAGGTGCTTTTTCAGTTTATTCAATTCTTTTTAGTCTTTCAGAATCAGCCATAATCGTTTTGCACAAGCTTTTCATAGAGAATCAGGCCGTCCAGAATTAGTGTTTCCCACATTGCCGATTGCAATTCATTCGTTAGAATGCGGATCTGTCTGAACTGGAATTTTTACATCACTGATGCTGGCTTTTCGGTATTTCCCCTGCTCCTGAGGGCTGTGAATTTTTAGAATAGTTTTCTTTTTTCCGATTGCAGAAAAGTCCTTTTAAAAAATTCACGATTTTAACATTGTTCTGTTTCGTGCAACTGTGATTGCTTTTGAAGATATGTAATTAAGAACATGAAAATTAGGCGTTCAAGTCATGTCTGGATGAAGAAACAATAACGAAACTGGCGAACAAAGAGAACGTGCGTGGCGAGACGCCGCTAGAAAGTCTACGTCATGGGACGGTGCACGACAGTGAAAGTCTTCGTTCCAATGTTTTCATCAGCTTGTTGCGGTGTGGTGCAACTGTAAAATCGCACTGAAGCTACAACTTTTATAAATTGGTCACCAGCGTCAGCTTATTTCGAATTTTGTTAGTCTTTTACATTGGACAGGTGCGTTTCCTCGTCACAGTGAAAATTGAATTTTACGAAATTGAGAGACTTTTTAACTGTAATAGCGAAACATTGATTTTTGTAAGTTTTTACACATTGTGATGTAACAAAGAGCATCACTTTAGTGCTTGAACAAGAAATTTATGTTTTATTTGGTTTTGTTCTGTAAAACAAAATGCACAGTCGTGTGCGTACGCAGTTTGGTGTTACGTTTTGCCTGACAGAATGAGTGGAATGCGGTAAAAAATGTCATGCAAAAAATGATGGGACGAAGCAGAAACTTCTCCTTAAAATACAGAACAGTTTTAACACCAAGTGTACCGCCTTGAATTTTGGTCATAATAGGTACTTGGATCTGCAGTTGTTTTTCTGGATGTTACAATTTGTATGTTGAAGGACAACAGACTTCTACAACGGTTTACATTAAAAGAAATTGTTTTACTTTTAATATAAGTCAGCATTCTCATAATAATAGTAGCACTCACCGTGTTCAAATATTAGTTCATTATTCTTTTTCTATAGTCAGTTATTTGGTTTTCTTCGTGCAGAATCAACATGGAGTGAATTCACGAATGCAATAATATAGTTATTTAGTACATAAACCACAAAGATCTGATCATTTTAAACTATTTGCTACACGTTGTTCATTCTTTTCTCGATGGAAGTCCTACTTTTTAAAAGTTTTTCTGCCAAGTTAATAAGATGTCAAAAACCTATATGCATATATACAGTATTGCGCCCCTTAATTTTTGCTCGATTTACACATTCTGATTTTACACTTTGTTAAATTTTGCATACCAATTCGTTTTTTGCATAAATAATGCACATGTATATGCTGGATATGAAGTAAATAAATTTACATGTATTTGTAATTTTTATGCGTTTTTGCTGTTGATTCTGCACCAGCAAAAACGCATATTGTCGAGAGGCTGTTTGTGTGTGTGTGTTCGGATACGAACGCATTTTGTCACCCACTTTCATCTCAGCAACCAGGGATATACATTCCTACCCCGTGTGTCATCCTTCCGTTTCAAAATCTTCCTCCACACGTGTCTGGATCCCGTTTTCGGACCCCCGAAAAAAATGTGCAAATTTCTTTGGCGAGAAACGATTTTTCAAACCAGGCAAGGTACAAAGCTGGAACTTTGCAGGAGTATTCTCTGTGCATGTGCAAGCTAAAGATTTCAAACTCGGCTGTTGCGCATGCCTGTGCAGCGTGTACGATCACGTCAAAGTTGGTAACTTGGTACTGTGCTAATTCGAAAACTTACCGGAAAACAGTGGCTGAAATTTTGTCAGCATGTTTGTCGCTCAAATGGGAAATCGTGTACCTAAAGTGAGTACCGATTTGCACTTGCTCCACTACTTATGGCACTTCAAAGATATTTGTAGCGATGTGGATATTTCGCTTACTGGATGAGCTGCGAGGCTGAAAATTCGCTGGAATATTCTACCTTCAAGTGTGGTCCAAATTGTGCTTGGAGGTGAAATTCTGTGCAGATGGACGTGAAAAATACTCAGCTTTACCGGAAAATCACTCATCCGTATATGTAAATGAACATTAATTTATTTGCATACTTGGATTTCTTGACAAACGACTGCTGGGGCAGTACTTACACTTTTTAGTGAACTGAAAATTTGCATTTTTTCAAAAAATTTGCGTCTTTAATTTCCTCAAAAAGCGAGCATTTGCCGAGAAAGCGACGAGCTTCATACAAAAAACTGGTAATCACGCACTTGGAGATCTAAGCGACTCTATAACGCAACACCCTCATCCTAGGCGATGCCCACTCTGCTGCATGACGGAAGAAACCAAGGGATGGCCAATATAGGCTCAAATTTTTGGCTGCGGCGCAGGGATTATTCCTGCTGTTAGCGTCCTGCAAGTTTAGTGCAAAAAGGTTTAGTGCGTATATAATCTAGCTGGAACGCACCGGCAAGCCCGGTGCGTTCTAGCTGGATTATATACGCAGACTGGAACGCACCAGAATTGCCGATGTGATCATGCATTTTGCGCTAAACTTGCAGATTACTAACAGCAGGAATGGTCTGTACGTTACAGTTCAACACTTGGATTCATATTGGCTGTTTTTTAGCTTTTTCCCTCATGCAGAGGGAAAGGGCGTCGGCTGTGAGGAAGGTGTTGCATTATAGAGCCGCACTGACTTCTAACGTACGTAATTATCAGTTCTTTGCATGAGGCCCAGTCGTTTTCCCAATAAATGCTCGTTCATTGAAGAAAAATGTAAATTCGAAGGGAGTCGGGAAACCTTTATGAAATCTGCAAAATGCACTCATTTTTGAGTTTACGATAAAATTGAGTATTTCTCATATCCACCTATAGAGAATTTCTCCTCCGAACTGAATTAAGACCGCACGTGGAAGTAGAATATCCCAGTGAATTTGCAGCCTCTCACTTTATCCGGTGACTTCGCTACAAGTATCTTTAAAGTGCCCTAAGTTGTAGCGTAAGTGCAAATCAGAAATATTTTTAGGTATACGATTTCCCACATGGACAATAAATGTTCTGACAAAATTTCAGTCATTGTTGTCCGGCTGGTTTTCGAGTTAGCACAGTGTCAAGTGCGAACTTTGACGTGGCCGTACGCACTGTACAAACGTGGGCAGTGGCTGAATTTCAAATGTAGCTCACACAAGCATATAGAATGTCGCTGCAAGGCTTCAGCTTCCTGTTCCCAAAATCGTTTATCTGGTTCCCAAAATCGTTTTCCGCCGAAGATATTTGCACACGTTTTAGGGGTTCCGTAAGCAAGATCCAGGCGTTTGTGAGCGATGACTTTAAAACTGAAGGGTGACACATAGGGTGGGAATATGCCCTCAGAATTTCAGCCTTCCAGCTTTCCTGGTTACTGAATTGAAAGTGGATGACAACGTTTATTCGCTTCCGAAAACACACGCACGCACACGGACGGGCTCTAAACAGTATGCGTTTTGCGCATTTTAGTAGCGCTGTAGCTGCATAGTAAAAACGCATAAAAATAGCCCAGTGCCGAAACATATCACTATGGCAGTTAAGATAGGCGCCCATTTCAAGATACCTCTGAAATTGTTTTATAAAGGTCCCATATTATACCGTTATTACTTTTATTTCCTCTATATTTCTTGCATTTCGCAATATATTCGTTCCCCGTCTTCCAGTTTGAATTCCTTTTTTCCATGTCAGATCCTGCCTTTTTCCTCTTTTTTCATAACGAAAAAGGTTATTTAGAGATTTGGCAGATAGTACTGAAAATGGTTTCAGACCATAGCCATAATACCGACAAGATCCAGTTGTGGTGCTTAACAGGTTTTTAAGGACCAGAATATCCCTATTTATCTGATTCATTATAATTTTGGTTCTTAAATTTTAGTATAGTTCACCTTCAAGTTATTAAAATATGCATTTAAACCACTTGGAAAACTGGAGTACGCTCAATTACCGTTTTAAATCAGAGGAAGCAATGGATGAAGTGTTTTGCAAAGCAGCTACAGACCTTTTGCGTGTACGATTTTCTGCATAAAGCCCAACGGACAAGTTCCTTTTGATAATACGTGATGCCTCGAAGTTGAGAATATGATCTTGAAAGGTATTTTGCTTTAATAGTTAGTCAGAGGTGTGATAAACGTCAGGAACTTGTGGACATATGAGTCCCGTATGCATCGTTTAATTTCGCGTCATCAGTATTCGCCCGGTCAGAAGTGGCCCTTAGCTTCGAGTTTGATGCATTTGCTCGGAATGCGGTCATTTTTTAGGCTTTGCAGTTGTTCGCGCCACTGCAAAAGGCGTCCCGACAAGAAGAAACAAGCAAAAATTTGTTTAATGAATACTGCCTGTCTTCGGATTTGTTTTCCAGCGTGTTGCATAGAATTTGTGGACAACTAGAACAGTGCAGGCTGCTAAGACACAGCTGCATGAAGCAATGAGTGATGCAGACAAAACTGCAGTGTAGCATTGTGCTACGTGAACAGACGTCAGCTTCGGCATACAACATACGTCGCCATTAGATCTTAAGAGGCCCATTGCATCCTGCAATTTGACTAACTTCGAGTTCAACTCCTGTCTAAAATTTTGGCGATTGCTGAGCGTGCTTAGATGGTAAAATTATTGCAACATTTTTTCGTGGCAACAGTTGCTGCTAAATTCTCGGAACAAGGATAGACTGTGAAATGAATGAAGTTCCGTTCTTAAAAAGCAGACCGAACTGAACATTAAACGGAAGAATGAAGCAGACGAAATACCTGTTGCGGAACATCCAGAGCATTCATTTCCGCCCGAACATCCACAGTTCCAATACTGTTTCGTCTCCAGTCAACATCTTTTTTGTGACGTCGTAAGAAGTCTCTGCGATGAGCGGATGGCCTCGCATTTTTTGTTACATTTAGTTCAACTGCCGTTGGTGATGAAACATTCACGGACAATTCTTCGGGTTCTTTACCACTGGCAAATGATACCACACCGAGACTTGATACAGTGCCGCCATCAGCTGCCGATGGTGTGTTGCCACTACCTAGGAGAAAGTTGCAAGAGTTCACTCGTTCGATAAAAATCCGTAGCGAGAAAGGAAGAATTTTAAATACTGTGAATTAAATATTCACATCCATGCGAATAATTGGTAAGTCGTGGATTTTCATGTGGTTTTCAGGAAGAATTATTCTTGCTTTGCAGTCAGCTGAAATCAGTTTTTGCCTTTGTAGATTTTATTCACATTTATGCAAGACCATGCATGCAAGATCGAATTGTGTTTCAAAAACAATTAATTGTAAGAAGCATGGCGACACAATACTCCTAAGGTATTCGCCAATATCAGTAGGAAGTGTGGGGAAATCTGGCAGATCGACATAGCTTGATCAGTCACCTGCCTTCTGTACAAGTAGCTGACCTCGTTCAGTCTTGTTGCAGCGGTGCTGTCTGGTTTTCTGAATTGTCAAACTTACGGTCTGAATTGTCATGAGTGACAACACACATCGCACTTCATGGAAGTGCACGGGACAATCGTAACTGGCAGACAGATGCCCGCTTAGCAGGCCGCTGCACACCACTGCACTTGGCATTCGCATGCTTAATGGATCCTAAGCAAACTAACCAGCACCACGACCAACTGGCTCGCGACATTGCGGCCTTGGGCATGTCTCATTGCGTTCTTTCGCTGTTATCGTTATCTGGCACTGATAAAATAATTGCGAACGGTCAGCATACTTGTAAACATGTGCTTCCTGCAACTATTTTCAGTGTGCTTGCAAAAGGACTGAATTATCGCTGGAGAGGTTGAGAAATGAGAGAATAAATGATTTTTTTCCCGCACCAGTCTCATAATAACAGCTAACTGATGAATATTCCTCTTTAAACGTACACGTGCACACCTTAACTAGTGAAATGGTAAATTTTAAATTGGCGAGGCACTATAACGTTTAGTTAATGGGAAAAAGTCTAAGAAGTATATTTTCGGGTAAATACGTCGAGTATTTTGAAGGGATTAAAGTTTTGCTGAAATACTTAACTCATAATGGAAAAAATCTTAGCTCTGTTTCTGATTTGTGCTCCACGTCGCACTTAGCAACCCATCCATCGTTACATAACCGAATAAAATATAACCTGACCGGCCGTGAGATCGCCAGGATATTCAAGATTGTTCAGAATGTACTTATCTAATGCACACCCATTTGTATCTAAGATTGTCACAACATCACCATTACCATCGTCAACATTGCACGAATGCACCACCATGCAAAATAATTCCTCTGCAATTACTGTCACTGGCTTAAAACTTGTGCTAATTGAGTTAAAAGAGAAATTTTCCATGGTTTTTTTAGTGCGCGAATTGTAAAAATATGGGCTGATTTGCCTAAGTGCCATTTATACTGCGTAACAGCAATGCAAAACGCATATTGTCATGGGGTTGTCTGTGTGTGTGTGTTTGTGTGTGAGTGACCGCAGTAACTTGTCCGCAACTTTCAACTCGGGAGCCACAAAAGCTAGGAAGCTGAAAATTTAGGG